AAACTTAAAGAAGATCAGAAGTGTGGTGCGTCACAGAACACGAGTGGCTGAACAGATGTTTTCAAACACACGTAGAAGCGATGTCGTGTTCGCAGAACCGTGCGAGTTCTAACCTCTGCCTTCACCTGTGAGATAACAGGCATTCCTCTATTTCCGCGGTTAAATGTACTCCTCTGATTTCGAGGCCATATTGCTGGAAGGCCAAAAGTTAGTTGATTAAGAATTAAATGGAAAGTGATTGGTTGATTCTTAGGTTACCTAAAGGAGCTATATCAACCACACAGCCGGTCACAGTAGCTGCGCGGTCTAAGGCATGAACTGTCTTCGCTCGCTTGGACGCTGGGATCGTGGATTCGAATCCCATGTAAGGCATGGATGTTTGGTGTATGTATGTGTTTGTGTTTCCTGTGTTTAGGTAGCTGATTACCCGTCCAAGGAGTCCTACCGTCTGTAAAATGATTACGGAACTGAATAAGCGACCCAGGCCATGAATGGGCTGGAGGAGCGAGCGAAAAATGTATCGAGAGTCCAATGTCGAATTAAAACAAAAAATGATCACATGTTGTGGAATGGAGATGAGGGGAAAAGTGGTCGTGGTCTACTTTTAAAATATTATATGGCATGTGCCTGGAGAGACTGAAAACAACTGTGAACACTTCTACAAGATCAGCCAACCCAGAGTTTGGTCTCAAACAGGATACCTCCGGCATGCAAATCAGATGAGGTACCACCCTGCCACTTCCGTACCGTGGCCCATTGTATCCGGTCCGTTCACAACGAATATGACGACCCGGCTGATGGGCGTCAGAATGAGCAAGGCCTTTCTATTAGAAAGAAAACCTTTATATTTGATAAGATGGGGTTAGAATTTTAATGAACAAATTGAGTCAGTTTGGGTTACTTCCACTGTGTGTATTGTCACGTGTCCGGGATTCCATGACGAATAATAACGAATTCTGGAGGGGATGATTGGATTTATTGGCACTTCTATTACAGTTACAACCAATTATATAACAGCTCACAATCAGTCGCTGCCTAAGACTCGCTCCATTCCTTACTGGTCTAGGAGTCTCTTCTCTTCTGCGTGACTGACTTACGATTTACGAGTCGGTCACTTCTTCAGCTTCCGGTGTCCGCTGGTTAACACGCCACAGCCAAACACTCAACCACTGAACTTCCTTCAGAATTCCGACTGACGAATGCTCTATGAAGGATCCAACGCGACTGAAATCTCCTGGACTGAACGGAATCACCCCAATTCACGAATGAACTCCCTTTTATAACTGCAACGCGGCCAGAATCTAAGTCACTGCGTCGAGCAGTTAATTGTCCTCTGTTATTTTGTTTGTTGTCACATGAATGCTTTCGTTAATATTCGTTGCCGCCGAAAAAGTTGTTTATGTACCGTTGTCTAGCAAATTAACTTCCGTTTCTGCTGCTATTCCGGCTTTGAGGCAGTATTTATCAACCCTTTGCCCACCAATGCATTATTTCGTCATAATATTTGTATGTGTTCTTTACACTATGTGAACAAAGTAAATGTATATACTGAGGATGTAACTGAAAGGCGAGGACAAGCTTTGGCACGAGTTCCACACACCAAAACAAGAAAAAATGTTCTTATCAAAATGTGTCCGGAAACATTTAATTTGTGAGTTACAGCTGAAAGAGTGCATTTATAAGTGTTCAGAATATCCTCCATGGGATCCACTGCACGCCTCGACACGTCTCATCATGGACCGACGCATCCGTTCAGAGATGCCAGGGTAGCTGCGGATAGTTTGACAGGCATGCGCAGTGCGCTGGTGAAGTGCGTCTTGACTGCCAGCAGGCGCTTCATACACAAGGGCTTTTAGGTGTCCCCACAGGTAAAACTCTAGAGGATAAGGCCACGCAGTGAGTCCTCTCTCTATCCATCCGTCACGGTAGGTGGTACCGAAAACATCTCACCCAAAAATGTGCCGGAGTGCCATCATGCATGCACCACATTCGTGCTCTGACTGCCAGTGGTACACCTTCCAGTGGCTCTGGCAGATCGTGTAAGCGGAAATCCCGGTAGGGGTTGCCTGTAAGCTGATGTGACAAAACATGCTGGCCTACCGAACAGTCACCAACAGTCCCTGTGCATACATTAATGCTGAACTGTTGATGATGCCGTCTTCATCGAAACGTGCGTTATGTGTAAAAAGCGCTACTGAAAGAAATAAATGTTCAGCACTTCCTTGAACAAAGCCCCGATAGAAGTTCTCTCGCAGGCATGAGGCCCTGCACTCGCTATGAGTGGCAAGGGCGAAGCAACTGTTCATGCAGTGCCCTCCAAATGCTCATGTCTCCTGTCCTTGTTTCATGCAGATACCTGAATGCCTGTCAACATGGAGGGCAATCTCAGCACTTATAACAAATATACTCTTTCAGCTACAACTCAAAAATTAAATGTTTCCGGAAACATGTTGATATGTAAATTTTTTTCTTGTTTTGGAATGTGAAACTCGTTCCCAAAGGTTGTCCGCAATTTTCAGTTGCTCCCTGCATATATATGGTTGTGTCTGTCTCCCTATCCGTATGTTTCAACTGGAGAACCTCTGGACGGATTTTGACGACATTTTGTAGGACTTCATGCCAATGGAGACTACCCAAAACTCGTACTTACTTCACTGCAAGCCTTTCAGAAATGCTATATGCCATTGTCAGGTCATTTGAAATCAACCATGAAAGGTCCTGTGCAAATATACTTATATTTTAATATGCTTCATCTAATGTCAAGTCGTTTCTAAACAAACGCGTAACATAAATTTAGAATGCGAGCCCATAACAAAAGCATTAAAAGAAATAATTAACTGCAGCCTGAGGCCGCAAAAAGAGTTACTGGACACGTTTAGTCTGCCGCATTAATTACCGAGCCCTCCCTGAGGTGCAGTAAATGCTCCTCCAGCTCGGCTGTTTCCGTGTGAGGGAGGCAACAGGTTGCATGACAGACAGGTGGTAGGCCTGCGCTAGCGCGGAAGTACTGCGTCGCTTTCGAGGCGATCAAATTTGAAATGACCCTACCAGCGTTCCTGCGAGTCTGACCTTCACTGCACCCTATTGGACCGTGGCAGCGAAACTTGAGTCTTGGAAATGACTCAACAAAGCTCTGATTCAAAATTTTTTCTTATGAACAACTGTAATTTGGTATTCGCATGGTCGCCATGTTTTACGGTTTACATACGAGATAATTTCTTGCTTGTAGTGTGGAAATTGCAATTCCATGGCGGCCGTGCGAATGCGGTAAAAGAAGCGGAAGATTCAGCACCGCTAAAACAGAGGCACGATCCTGATTCAGTTCTCTCTACGTCTCATTGCAATCACTTTCCTTGGGATGTATCTTAATGTTATCTTCTGTCCAGTCCTCAGTCACCTCAATGGATGATTTTCCAAAACCAGAACTCTGTACGTATTTCTAGCCTCTTCTTCCAGATGTCTGTCTTAACAATATCTCCTCAGTTGTTGTCAAACTGACTGATTACTAGGATTAAGTGATGCTGTGTCAGTTGGTGAAGTTAGGAAATTCCGAATGTTCAGTATATTAAAGACACTAAGTCGGGGGGGGGGGAAGTTGATTAAAGTGACTTCGGTCTATTTTATTGTCAGACTTGTGGCAGCAACGTTAAACTTTTTTTATTGCTAGTGGAGTGGGACTAAGTCCCTTGTACTGCGGCCACTTCTGGCCTACTGTACCAGGCCCAGATGATAGGTAAGGGTGATTGTGGAGCAATTGGTGGAATGAAGATTGGCAGGGGAAACCGAAGTACTCGGAGAAAACCTGCCTCAGCACCACTTTGTCCACCACAAATCCCACTTGCCCAGAGTCGGGATCGAACCCAGGCCGCCGCGGTGGGAAGCCAGCGACTAACCGCTTGAGCTATGGCGCGGCCAACGTTAAACCTTAATCAGTACTACTGAACAGTCTGCGTTAACATAATTCATAACTATCAAGTATTACAGTTCACTTGCTTCGAATATCTTCCTTGTGACGTCAGTGTTTTCGGCTTTCCTGGCAGTATTCAGTAACTTGGTTGTTATGCCACTTTTTCTACGTATACACCATCACACTGAATTTTCTCTTTCCTCTAAAGTGGTTTCTTATACGTGCATTCTTTCCCTGCTTCGTTTCGTTCTAGTCTGTCGTAAACACCTAATCTAAAGCAAATTCGTAACATTTAATAAGAAACCCCGTTTTTATTGAGTGTAAAGGTTCGTGACAGCGGTTCAGTATTGCCGTGGGAATATATGCTGTGGCCCAGCACACTCGCTTCTTCGTATCTCTTGTTTAATGGACAACGGCCAGTCCCAATAAAGCTCTCGTGATAAATATTTCGGGTCGAAATATAAAAGTATAAGAGACTGCTGGCCATATAGCCTTAACACCGCGCTGTCCTACAGTGCCATAAATGTGTAAATTTCTGCTGCCTGTCACGTCGCATAGATAATCATCGCAACAGCGTTTCTGCAGTATATCCGGCGTCATTTTCGTCTGGAAGAACGGATAACACTAGTTCAAAGAGTGTGGTAACATCAGTGTCCTTTGCTCAGACCTATTTTATCATTGAATGGTTTATGTTGCTGTTTCGTAGCAAATTACTTCTGCCGTAATATTTTTGCATATTTCTTCGCGTTTGTTACACGTTGTAGAATAGTCATTCTCACATTTGCTTGTTTGTTACCCTTATAAAACGTACATAAATGAAAATCTTAATGTCCTTAAGTTCTTGGGCTTTCTCCTGCTAAACACCATTCAACTAACTAATGCTCCGTAGAAATGAGACCGCTCTGTGACGGACCCGGAAATGCAACACATTACTACTTCTCCGGTGCGTCAATCATGGCTTTGTCTGCCACCCGGCACTCGGTTGGTTACGGAGGAAGGAGGTTTGTTCTTGTGCTGTGAAATGCTGACAGAACGTCAGCTACAGTTTGATCCCATCAACCAAGAGCTGAACAGAAATGTGAACTGTACTCACCCAACATCTTGCTGAGATCGGCATTGTGGAGATCCGGGTTTTCATCTGCCAGTTTCTTGCGCTCCACTTTGGCCCACACCATAAAAGCGTTCATGGGTCTCCGAATTCTCTGCTCCTTTAAGGCTTTCTGTTGCTGCTGATGACTGTGGTGATTGTGGTGATGGTGGTGACCAGGATGGACACCAACTTTAAGTCCAGGGGTACTCCCCGCTAGGTTCACCTCTCCTGCCGTAAGATGGTGCTGGTAACTCTGATGATGTAGAGGTGCGGTAGTACCAACCATATTTCCACCTGGACTTCCTACCAGCGAGCCATTGCTCAGCCAGTGACACTCTTCACCTGGGGTCAGTCTGTGATTAAGGGTTGCCGAACCTGGGAGAACACTAGGAAGCATCTGGGTAATTTGAGGAGAGGCAAGCGAAGTAGGGGTGTCTGAGTCTGTGGCGTATGGGTGGCGGTCATATGCAGGGTGGTGGTGGGGGCTGTACAACTGATGCAGGGGATGCAGAGTTGGAGAGTTCGATGGGGAGAGGTTCGAATTCAGAGTGGAAGACGTAGTGCCCCCGTAACTGGTGCTCACCAACGTCTGTTGGCTCGGTGAGCCGTGATCCATCTCCGACTTGTACTCTCCCATCATTCTGCAACACAAAATCGTTTTGTTCGTGATTTATACGTGGTTTAATTAACGACTTAGTCAGTAGCTCAGACCGTATAGTATCGAACTGTAAGTATTAATTACTGAATTGAAAAATATGTGGAAGGAAGTGGTCGTGGCATAATTTGAGGTATTCTCCCAGCATTTGCCTTGTGGTGCTGATGAAAATCATGAAAGCCTACTAATAATGCGGACACCAGAAAGATGCATTGTCAGCATCTCCTGCTTAAATGATTATATCCATATACTTAAACCCTTTACCCCCAGGAACATTCGTGGTGCTAATTTCTCTTAGAGGCTGAGTCGACCTTAGGGCCATAGTGCTGCTGGAAGGATTGGGACAATTGGAAAATTGAATGACCTCGTCGGGAATCGAACCCGCTATATTCCGGCTTGTAGCACAATGCCTCAAAGAACTACACTACCGCATGTCCCCAGTAAATCAAATTAAATAAGTAATTAAATGAATAAATGTCTCTATACACGAGAAATTACTTTGAATCTTCGAAATTCTTTTCCACTTTTAAATGAAGCGTTCACATACTGTACTCCATCTCGGCACCTCGACGTTTGAGGGCCATGGGTTAACGAACGGTGTTGGTCTACATGTGAGGAAGCAATGAGACTTTGCATTGCACTCACACTGAAATAAATATCCAAGTTGGAAATCGGAAAGTATTTCTGATGAGAACATTTCTACACACAGCCGCATTACGATGTATGATAATGCACTCACTGTTAGTAAGAACCGTAAGTTACGTCTTCATAAGGCGTTAATCGCAGAAAGTAAGTAAAACAGAAGGATATGCTACACCGTGAAAACTAATATCACATTTCAGCATCCTTTTGCATTGATGCATCACTCGTTCACTCAATTTCGTCTTTAATGCAACATAAACCGTTCGCAGTCTCTTCTTTATTTTAACATAGCATTAGAATCACATTTAATTGTAACATGTTTCGGCCTCACAAGGCCATCTTCAGGTAACTGGTCACAAATTGCCTGAAGATGGCCTTGTAAGGCCGAAACATGTTACAATTAAATGTGATTTAATGACATTTTAAAACAAACGAGAGACTGCGAACGGTTCGTGTTGCATTAGGCTAGGAACACACACAGCGACATCGGTCGTACGGAAAAATGTCGTATGATTTTTTTGCCGTACGACCTCCTTTTCACACTAGAGCGACCAAATACATTTCTTTGCTCTCCGACTGTCGTACGGTAGATATCGCGTGTCGTCACGTATGAAAGCTAAGACTACACTTTATATTTTACTACTTGATGCGACATGAACCGTACGGACGTCGTACGACCGATGATGAAACCTGGTTACAATATAAACGGTACCGGACAGACCGCACCGGAAAGTTCCTGTCCGCCCTTCCAACTGCACAAGTTATATAGCGTCAAACAAGCAGAGAAACTACGGGTCCGAGTGGTCTGCATTTCTGCTTCGTAATTGAGAAGTCCCGAGTTCGAACATTAGCAGCAAATACTGTGTGGGGAAAAGTGTTTGATTTTTGCTTGGCTGTTAATATGGTATGGGATTAACACAGTCAACTGAAATCCAGAACTAAAGCACTGGCATGAACTGACGGTTTGGGATTCATATCTCCTTTGGTGTCAACCACACCGCACCGATTTTCTTTATATCGGTTCATTCTCAGCTGATGAATTATAACCGAGCTGAAGTTATCAGCTGCCTCCAAAGAAGTGGCAGGATGAACTTAACGGATCAGAGAGCATGCAGACTTAGTATGCCCTATGCTATTATTTGGAAGGTGTAGGAAACCCATGAAACACGTCAGTAGACGGATCCTTTTCGAAAAGAATTCAGGGGCGTCATTTCGTGACGGAATGGCAGCTAAATCAGAATTGCTGGATATAAGACCAGTTTATGGGAATTAATTTTTCAGACTCCTATCCAATTTGACGCCATTGTAAAATTAACTGGTCGGTGTTTCTCGACAGCTCAGTCGGTAAGAAGCAAGGTCGATTCTGCCAAAACGCCAAGACACATTGTGTATTTTGAAGGACTGCATCCTGTTGCGTATAAACAATGAACATATATGATTTTTTACCGTCAACGCAACAGTACTTTCTTATTTATTTATATAGCACGCACTACATGTTTCGACCTCAAATGGGTCATCTTCAGGTGCTACAAATTTCTCTAACTGCAACGTTAACATTCCAATTTTTATAAATGGTTCGCACAAGTTAGTTTCTACTGAATTCACGAACTACGCAAAACTTAGAGTAGACTTTGGTTAAAATTAACAATAAAATGCAATAAAAGTAAGAATAAAAATCGTACATGTGATAAAGTCTTATACATAACAATAGATTACACCGAAGTTAATAATTAGGTGATCCTAAATCCACAAATTAATGTTTAAAAAGTTTTAAAAATTATCTTTCAAAATGTTATATAAGCTGCGAGTAGCTTCGTGTTTATTATTGCAGCACACCGCGCCCAGGGTTCATCAGTTTCTTCTACTGTTTGCTGCATTGGCTCGCCATGTTAGTACGTAATTTTGCCATTTTCCTAGAGAATAGACCCTCTTCTTTTATGTTGCAAGGAGCCAGTGGTTAATGTGTGCTGTTTATATTATGCGGTTCATTGTGCTGCATGGATATACAGGTAGAGTTGTCCCCGTGCTGAACTTAACTAAGCAAGGACACAACACAGGACACAATATACACAAGAATATAAGAAGAGTACTCTCATAGGAAAGGATTGACGTAACTCGCGAATTTGAGGTGCGACGTATAGATGATAAATCTTGAAAAGTTTTAATATATACATTTTATTATTATACATGACAAATTTACATTTTAATCATTTTATAAAGGAGACATGATGGCATACAGTGCAATGGTTTGACGTAAACAAAACCACAGCTGAAGATGGCACATTAGTGCCGAAACATGTAGTGAAGAGAAAGGTGAAATTGTGCGCACTGTAAGACGGTTGGTACAAATACACATCATTAACTAAGCACTACGCCATGAAGACATACTGTACATGTATATCCACGTGTCTTGACCTCAGCACTAGTTGGGAGTGATAAGCTTCACACCCCGGCCGCTTCATCCCCGGGGAAATAACCCCCATCCCCATTAGATAGGAGACTAGGTTGGCGCCAGAGCCCGTCTGGACTACATGGAGAAGTGAAAATTCTTGCTCCTACCGGGACGCGAACTCCGACCCCTTGTACGTCCAGCACGTAGCCAGTCGCTATACCGACTGCGCTATTCCTATGGAAGTATGACTAAGGAAATCACATCTGGTCCACCGCTGCGTGACGTCTAGTGCAAGTAGATGAGGTCGTAACAACTGACTTGAGCCTCAAATAAACTAAGTGAAGAACAAGAAACCATGCGATATCTCAAAGAACGCATATAGAAAATTTCGACCTACGTCACTGATTCTTGAATTATTTAAAGTCGTATTTTTGATGTCATAGGCTGTACGTGTTGCCACGGGACAATATGGGGAACCTGAAACAATGCGGTCATGGCATTTGAATACAAAGCCTCAAGAAACCCATGGCACAACCGACCGAAGAAAACAGGTCTATGAACCGAGACACAGGAAGAAGCTCCCGAACCTACAGCAGGAACTTCGCGACATTTAGAAAACGTGGGCGGGCTACACTGTAGTGCACCTAACCAATCTTATTGATTAATGTTTATTTTGGAAGAAACGGAATGAAATAAACATCAGAAGTAATTTATTTATCTGTTTATGGTTTCAATTGACCTAATCCTTCCAGCCGCACTAGGCCCTGGGGTTTACTCAGCCTCTAACAGAAATGAGTACCAGGAATTAATTAAATAATTTTCCCGTGGAGTAAAGTGCGGCCAGCGCGTAAGAATGACAACCTTACCGCCATCTTTGAGCCGATTGTCTAGAAAATGTGGGACCCTTAGCGTCTCACAACCCTATGGGCCTTCACGGCCTGGTACAGGGATAGCTTTACTTTTATGCTTTAGTTAGCAATAGTGTCAGTAGCTCAGATTACGCAGACACATGTAGACAATATATGATATTGTAACATGTAGACCCATTGCTGGGCAACGACCGCGAAATAAGCAAATATACAAGAATATGCTGGGTAACGGCTTCTCAAATAAACGTGTTCCCATTGAAACAACTGAACAGTAAGATAGGAACGATGTTCTCTATGCAGTCCGTGCCAAGTTGTTATAACCAGGACAGTTTGAGAAATGAGTCAGTTGTGCGATAATCGCCAGCCGGTAACGACGTTAGCAGAGGGCATTGTTAAGATCCGTTACCAGGAAACGACCAGTGAAAGCAGACTCAGAAAATTCAGCGTGTGCTCAAAAGATTTGTAAAGCGTGTGAATTAGCGATAGGGCTATAGTTACTTGTAGTTACGATCTGTAAGTGGTCAATACACCAAGTTACCAATGCAAACCCCATCTATAGTCGCACTCAAAATCGCGATATTATAATTAGTGAATGATGAAGAGGAGAGGGTTTGGGAGTTACCGGTCGAGGCCTATCTCGGAATTTGCCTCAAGGTACCGAGGAAAACTACGAAATCTCAGCCAGAGAGTCCGTGTCCTTTCGGAGACTCGAACGGAGCACTTTCCGAACTCAAATCTGAAGTGTTACCATGGAGCCAAATTCCTAAGAACATGTTTGTTTCAAAATATTTGTGATAACAATCATGCTAATTGTGATTATTAAGTATGGTTTAGGCCTATTTTGAATTCAATCTATACTTCTGGGAGGGGCCGGGGTAGCGACTGGCTACGGGCTGGACGACCGAGGGTTGGGAGTTCGAGTCCCAATAGGGTCAACAATTTTGTCTTCTCCATGTCGTCCAGACCGGCTCTGGGGTCCAGCCCACTTTGTGTCCAATGGATACCGGGGCTCTTTCCCAAGAGTTAAAGCGGACGGGGCGTGAAGCTGACCACTCACCTCCAACTTGTGCCGAGGTCAAGAAA